CCGGCCGAAGCTGCTGCTGCTGCCCTTGTTGCTGCTGCTGTTCAACCAGACTCCTCCCCAGGGTGAGTTCTGGAGCGAGCTCGTGCCGGCGCGCTGCCGCCGCGCTCTCCGGGGAAGCGCCACCTCCCCGGGCGAGCCGCGCGTCCGCGGAATGAATGGCCGGGGCGGGGACCGGCGGAGGACGGAGCTGGGGGAGGGGCGGCGGGGAGCGGGGAGCCGGAGCCCCGGCGTGGGGTGGGGGGGCTCTCGGGGTGGTAACAGGATGTGGCTGCAGAGGGAGGGGAGGGGTTAGCCCCAAAGCCTGGGCAGGGGTGCCCAGCGCCCCCTTCCTGCCGCTCGCTTCCGTAAGGGACCCCCACCGCCCTCCACAGTGCTCAGCAGTCAGGGGAAGTTCAGGTTCAGGTGCAGGCGGCTGGGGGAATCGGCCCCCTCCCCTGCGACCCTCCCGCCTCCCCCTCCAGGCAGCCCTGGACCGCTGCAGTGCCACGGCGTCGGGCCCTTGGGCGACTTGAACTGCTCGTGGGACCCTCTGGGGGACCTGGGAGCGCCCTCCACGCTGCACCTCCAGAGCCAGAAGTAGTGAGTACAGCGGGATGACTCGGGGAAACTGAGGCTTGAGGGGTGGCCACTCGGGTTCCAGCATTCTCAGGTGGAGAGGACCCAGTAGTCCCGCCCCCCAGCCCTCCCCCATTCTCAAGCCCTTCAATTCCAGGTTCCCTCATTTCCTTGCTGTGTGACCTTGGACCAGGCCCGTTCTCTCTCTGAGCCTGTTTCCTCCTCTAGCAAATGGCGATAATAACGGAACCTGCCTCCCAGCGTCGGTTCTGAGGATTCAATGAGTTAGGCGCTTGGCACAAAGAAGATGCTTATTTTAACTTAATATATTTATTATTTTATTTTATGATTTATTTGATTAATTAGAAGCTGTTTTTACTGCTGTGTGACCTTGGGCAAGTAGCTTAACCTCTCTGAGCATATGAAAAGCTCCTTCGATCTGGTGCTGGGGGTGCAGCCATGAAGGAGGCAGGCAGAAAGCCTGGCCCTCGTGGGCCCCCAGTCTGAGGGGGAGACTGGCTTCCTGCACGATGAATCACTCCTGGAAACTCAAAATCAATTCAAATTGGGCAAGTGAGGAAACAGTCAAAGGGACATTGAGAAGTGGGAACCCGGGTGGGGGCTGGGTTTGTTTTTAATGGTGGTGAAAGACCCATATAAAATTTACTGTCTTTTTTTCTCCACCATTTTTAAGTGTGCAGCTCAGTGGCATGAAATACATTCACGCTGTTGTGCAACTGTCACCACCAGCCGTCTCCAGAGGGGGCCTGGTTTTCATTGGTAGAGGATGGGGAAGTCAGAGAAGGTCCCCTCTTTTTTTGTGACGTGAAATTCCCATAACATAAAATGAACCATTTTAAAGTGAACAATGCAGTGGCATTTACATTCACAGTGTTGTGCAGCCACTATCTAGTTCCAGAATGTTTCCACACCCCAAAAGGAAGTTCCATGCCCATTAGCAGTCACTCCCTCCGCCCCAACTCAGCCCCTGGCAGCCGCCAATCTGCCTTCTGACTCTATGGATTTGCCTGTTCTGGACATTTCATGTCAGTGGGATCACACACAGTGTGGCCTTTTGTGACTGGTTTCTTTCACTGGGCGTGATGTTTTCAAGGTGCATCCACATTGTAGCGTTTGTCAGAGATTCCTTCCTTTTTATGGCTGAATAGTATTCCACTGTGTGGAGGGACCACACTTATTTATCCGTCCATCTGTTGATGACACTGGGTTGCTTCCACCTTTTGGTGATTGTGCCAGCGCTGCTTTGAACATGGACAACTTTCTGAGTCCCTGTTTTCAATTCTGGGTGTCTGCCTAGGAGTGAGGTTGCTGGGTCATATGGCGACTCAGTGTTGAGCCTTTTGAGGAACTGGCAAACTGTTTCCCACAGCAGCTGCAACATTTTAAATTCCCACCGGCAATGTGTGAGGGCTCTGATTTCTCCACAGCTTCACCGACACCTGTGTTTTTGTTGTTTTTTATGAAGGTCTTGTTTTGAACTTTTGATATCCAGTCCTTCGAGACCTCCTCAACTCCTCTCTCTCACCCACATGTGTGCCGTCAGCAAGCCTTGCTGGCTCCCCTCCCACGGTATCCGGAATCTGGCGCTGCCCGTTTCCTCAGCACCCACTGGGTCCAGCCCCCATCGGCGCTGGCCTGGACCGAGCAGTCCCCTCCTCCCTGGGCTCTGCTCCCCACCCTCAACCCCGCAGTCTGTTCTCCGCCACAGCATCCAGAGGGCACCTGTGACATCTGAGTCAGGGCATGTCCCTCCTCTGCTCACAGCCCCCCAGGCCCCTGCCTCACTCAGGGTCAAATCAAAGTCCTCCCTGTGGCCCACCAGGCCATGCACAACCTGCATGTCCCCTCCCTGCCCTCGCTTCCTCCCACTCTCCCCTCACTCACTGCACGCCAGCCACACAGGCCTCCTCCTCGCTGTTCCTCAAACAAGCCAGGCACGGTTTGCCCTCAGGGCCTTTGCACGGGCAACTCCCTCGTCCCAAAGTGCTCTTCTCCAGGCACTGCAGGCTCCTCCCTCACATCCTTCAGGCCTTTATTCAAATGTCTCCTCCCCCGAGACACCTTTCCTGACCTCCCTAAAATAGCATGGTACTCCTCACCCCATCCTCACACCATATCCTCACCCCATGCTCACAGCCAACCCCACACCCCATCCTCACACCCCATCCTCACACCCCATCCTCACACCACATCCTCACAGGCCATCTCACACCCATCCCCACACACCATCCTCACACCTCATCCTCACCCTATCCTCACACACATCCCCACACCCCATCCTCACACCACATCCTCACACCCCATCTCACACACATCCCCACACACCATCCTCACACCCCATCCTCACACCACATCCTCACACCCCATCCTCACACCCCCATCCTCACACCCATCCCCACACCCCATCCTCACACCCATCCCCACACACCATCCTCACACCTCATCCTCACCCCATCCTCACACACATCCCCACACCCCATCCCCATCCCCCATCCTCACACCCCCATCCTCACACCCATCCCCACACACCATCCTCACATCCCATCCTCACACCACATCCTCACACCCCATCCTCACACCGC